GCAAGCAATCCATACGACACTGGAGGAAACGATTGCCATAGATCCCACATCGCACGCACACCATGCCTGTACCCTGCACAGCTCTGCACACAAGCTTATAGCCGCGGAATCTTGGGTCAGCTGCTGGGTTCCACAAGAAGTCCGGCATTACCGCAAGGCGAACTTGGTGGCAGAGGCTGTTCGTTGGTGTTGACTGTTCCAGTTCTCTGAGGCTCTGAGGAAGGATAGTCGCTGCAAGTGCAGTTCAGATCTTGGGTGCATATGTCTTCCTCCACAGCGTATAGGTTGCCTCTTGCACCTCTACCTGGTAAATACTACCTCAGCTTCGAGGCGGCGGTGAATCAGTGCAAATAGGAGGGGCGCCGTGCTCCTTGCTCCTTGCTCCTCACCTGACTGACTCTTTTCTTTTGACTATTCAGCATTTCAGCATCGCACACTCTATGATCTCTCTGGAATCGAATCCGCGCAAACATGTTCTTTTCATTTGAGGCGGAGAATTCTTGGATTCTTTTCATGCTGCCTTCTCGACACTGGGACTGAGTACATGTGCACTAGGATAGGCTTGATAGAGTAATTGTGGGGTCTAGCTTATTGTACTAGCTATTGGTTTTAGAGATAATTGGAGAGTGTTGGTGATGAATTGGATAATGTGAGCTTCTCTGAAAGAGATGGCATAGCCTAAGTATCAATGATATCTACAGGCTAGCCTGGCTTATAAAACCATAGTCACAAATCGTGACATTCTGCCCCTATGATCTAGAGGACTCAATGCTCTGAAAGCAAAGTTGTGAAGTCATGTAAACATGGCTGAAAATTCATCAAATCCATTGAAGGATTGGCCATGGAATGGCTCATTATAAGGTCGTACTTGTCTAATGGGAAACCTTTGTGTGACATGAGGTGTCATCTGCAAAGTGAGTGATCCATTGACATGTGTTTTGAGGACTACATAAGGTCATTCAGCTCTAGGCTGTAGTTTGTGGGGATGGTAGACTAAGCGCAAGACTTTGTCTCCAGGTTGATAGTCTTGAGAGACTCTTTTCTTGTTGAACCTTTCAAGGTTCTTGTCGATTATTCGTTGTCTCCTATCCTGGAGGAGTTTCAGGTCTGCCACAAGGGGTATGTCTAACAACATATCTCTGTTGAAGACTATGGCACCTGGTGATAGTTCCAAGGTGGAATGTAGGCATGCTCTCGAGGCAAAACCTGCAATGGACAATGCTTCGTCCACTGCATCAGCAGCTTCAGCTGCATTTTCTGGTGGATGTTCAGCCAATATTGGTCTGAGTACATCGGCTACTGTCTGGTGTAGCCTCTCACAAACTGCATTAGCTTGTGGATTCTTGACTGATGTAGGCACTGGAGTGATGCCTGCATCTATCAACAGCTCTCTGAATTCAGCTTTGAATTCATTGCCTGGGTCAAAGATGATATTGACCGGCTTTGGACATCTAGCTAACCATTGTCTCTTGAAGACTTTGGTAACATATGGTGCTGTTTTGTTGCTCAATCGAATGAGTTCGCAGTAATTAGTTACTGTATCAATGATTGTGAGGGCAATGAATTTAGTTTCAAAGCCATGTTTGTCTCTTACTTTCCAGGGACCGATGAGGTCAACTGCGATGTCACTCCATGGGACATCGTTGGCTTGCCTTGGAGGCAAGATGCCATATTGTTGGCGCTGTTGTTTGTATTTTTGACAGGAACCACAAGAGGCTGTGAGATATTTCACTGTCGTAGATATTTTTGGGTTTTTGAAGTGTCTAAGGATAGACTCTGTGACTCTAGTAGAGCCTGAATGGCCCAATATTTGATGATAAAATTGTACCACTGTGGGTAGCATTGAATCTGGCAAACAAATCTTTGCTTGATCCTTGGGATCTTTCCTATATATTATCATTGTTTTATTGTCGCCAATGTTGGCATTGGTATATCCTGGTGTCTTGTCACTCAGGTACTTCTGTAGACGTTGATCGTCTTTTTGTTTGTCTGCAATGGTCTTGTAGTCGAGAGCAAATGGATGCTCAGCATCGACTCTGGGGTAGTTTACAAAACATCCCAGTAACTCATCATCGTCCATGAGGACTGAGAATGAGTAGTCTTCCACATGACATGGCCAATCGTCATCGGCCTCAATGTCTGTAGGTAGCAACGGCGTTCTAGCTCGTGCTCCTGCAGCATCGGTCTGGGCATGCATGCTACGCTTGTGGTGAGCGGAAGCTTTAACTGGAAGCTTTTGATTACCTTCATCCTCCTTCCGAGGTAGACGTGACAGAGCGTCTGCAAAGGTATTTTTAGAACCCTCAATGTAATGAAACTTGGGGTTAAATTCCTCTAGGAAGAGGCGCCATCGCATAACTCGCTGTGAGTTTAAGTTAGCATATGTCAAATTTTTGTGGTCCGTGTGGACATGGATTTCTCGGCATCCAAACAAGAGTGTTCGAAACTCTTGAAATGTAGACACTATGCTTAATAGTTCCTTTTCCATAGTGGTATAATTGCGTTGAGCTGCATTGAGCTTCTTGCTATAGTAGGCCACTGGCTGGCCTTCTTGCACTAGGACTGCGCCTAATTGAAGGTCGCTTGCATCTGTATAGATGTGATAAGGCTTGTTGTGATCCGGATATCGGACAAATGCTTGCTGGGCAAGGATTGCTTTCATTTCATCAAATGCTTTTTGATGTTCTGGTAACCAATTGAACTTGTCTTTCTAGGACAAGCCGGTCAACTTGTGGAGTGGTTCCAAGGTATGTGACCGTCTAGGATAGAGATCCTTATAGAAGTTGACAGCTCCAATAAAGGAACGAACCTGTTTGAGGTCTTGAGGGCTATCCAATTTGAGGATGGCATCGACTTTCTTTTTCCATGGCTTGATACCGGTTGGTGTCAACCAGAGGCCTAGGAAGTTAGTCTCTTTGACTGCCCACTCACATTTCAGTGGGTTAATGGTGAAGTTGTTTGCTTGGAGTCTAGAAAGGACTATGTCCAAGACTTTGATGTGCTGTTCCCAATCTTTGGTGAAGCAGCCAACATCATCGATGTAGACTTCGATCTCTGGAATGTCTTTAAGGACGTCTTCCATGATCTCTTGTGCATAGTCGCTGGACTGGCAGCAACCCATTGGTAACCTTTGGTATTGGTAGGTTCCAAATGGTGTATTGATGGTACAGGCTTCTTTGGCCTCATCATCTAATTCAAATGTGTAATATTGCATTGAGATATCCAGTTTAGTGAAGAACTGGTATCCTGTGCGTCGACGAACGACGTCTGATATCCTTGGAAGTGGATATACTTTGCGTTTGATTACTTTGTTGAGCTCTCTGAGGTCAGAGACCCATCGAACTCTGCCATCTTTCTTTGGTATGACAAAGGTTGGCAGTGACCATCGTGAAGCACCACCTCGTTTCAAGACTCCGATTTCACAGAGACGTTCAAGTTCTTGCTTGAAGACTTCGAGGTGAGCCTGTGGTACTGGGTATGGTCTGCGACGTACTGGCGTAGCATCTTGGTCTATGTCCAAGTGTATTTTTCGATGTGGGTACAAGCCAAGCTTGCCACTGAAAAGTTTTGGGAACTGTCTCAAAAGGAGTTTCAGTTCCTGTCGTTGTTCGACTGTGAGATGGGTCTGGGCTTCTGCTACCTCATCAGTGTCTACCTTGTCATATTTAGATGACATGATTTCAGCAATATTACAAAATGTTGGTTCAAAGTCTGCCTCTTCAGGAGAGAATGTTTCCATGTACAATTGTTGCATGGCTTGAAATTTTTTGGTAGGAGCTACCATTGTCCTGAAAGGGACCTGATCTCCTCGCCATGTAATAAGTTGGCGTGAGTTGATGACATCGATGCCTAGTGGGATGTTGAAATCCTGACCTAGGATCATGTCAAAGCCAGAAGCTTGAGCTTCAGCTACAAAGGCAAAAGTAGGCCTTGTAATGTGTGCTGTTGGGTTGAGTTCAGGAAGGACTATATCACGTAGAGTGACTCGTTTATTTATTAATGTTACTCTGTCTAGGAGTGTGGTTGTCATTCCTGGAACTGAATCCGGGACGACTGTGGTTGGCAAGGCACTTTTGTATATAAAAGATCTTTTAGATCCAGAGTCAACGAGAGCCCTAAGGGGTCGTTTAAATTCGATTCCTTGAATGGAATTTATTGTGACAATCAACAGTGGAGTGTCAGCACCTGCCGAGATCTCATGTGTAGTTATGGGATCTCCTGGTTGTGTATATTTTCGAATGACAGTCCCTGTGTTGGGATCTAGTTCATCTATGTCGCTACTATGGGAGTAGTCAATATTTTTTGTATTTTTATTGGTTATTTTATCACTATCACTACGGTCTTGGAGACCTAATAAATATTCCTCTTCTTCATCGAACAGAGCCATAGAAATGGCATTGCAAACACTATCCAGGGAACCTGGTTGGTAGACATCAGGCTGGAAAATTTCAGTCCTGGGCAATTCGGTTGAGTTCGGCCTGCATCCAAAGGTGTTGGACTTGGGATTGGTCGAGCATATTTTTGGTGGCCAACCATGCAAAGCGTTCGTGCATTGGGAGGCATTTGAACTCGGGATCATATGCTCTGGGAGCAGGTCCTGAAGTTGAAAGCAATCAAAGTGATGCTGTTGGTTAGTGATAGTGTTGGTGATATCGGATAAAGGGGGAGCTGTAGAAGCTTCCTTACCTTCCTTAAATGCAGTGCCAGTGTCGTCATCGACCTGCATGGCGATGCAGCCATTGTGGCTTGTTTTTGTTTTTTTTGTTAGCATCATTGCCTTGGTCGGAGCCAAGCTTGTTGCGTGGGTTGTTTGGGTTCCAGAAGCAATTCTTCCAGAGGTGCTTGGTCTCAAGGTTTTTGCAACGGCTATGGTTGCACCAGTTCTTGTCCTGGTTAGTTTTGTTGCCATTGCCGTTGCTTGTGCCATTGCTGCGTTTGTTATTACGGCCATTTTGGTTCCTGGAGCGGTTGCTTCTGCCGCCAGGAGCATCTCTGTCGCCTCAAGTCTTGTCGTATTGGCGTTTGTTTTTTCCTTCAGCCATCTGTTTGGCTGTGTTGGCAGCCTGTGCTGCAATGGAGTTAGCCTCCATTTTTTTCATGTGGGCCAAAATGGTTGGGACCTTAAGGGTCTTGACATCGACTCCATTCTGGTCGAGAAGCTTGTTGCGCCATTCCAAAGGGAAGGAGCCCAAGAAAATGGATATCATTTCCTGGACTGTGTACAGGGGAATCTGTACTGTGGCTTCTTTATCCCAGTTGATATGGCCTTGGCAGTATGCAAGTGCCTTGTTTTTCTTGAAAAGAATGGTGTGCCACTGATCGACAGGGCATTTTGTTGGCTTTTTGAGGAGTTTAACTCCATCCTTTTGATTCAGGGCATCATCAGGTGATCCAAACTGTGCTCCGTAGAGTTGCATGTAGCTCCGAAAGTTCCCGTAGCGGATTGTATTTTCCGGGTTCTGGGCTACGTTGTTGTCGGTATTTTCCAGGGCGGTCCTAGCTTTGGTAAGTGCCAATTCCGCATTTTCCAAAGCTGTTCCGTACAGGGAAGCCTTGAAGGCTACAACCTTGCCAATGTTATTGAGATTGGGCAAGTTGTCAATGACATCCACACAGTGGATGGCCTGTGGGATGATTTCTCGCGGGCCAAGTTGGCCTCCGCAATAAGGCGCCCTGTAATTGAATTTTATTTCTCCATGAGAGCCCTTGATGGATTCCAAATTGTTGGTTGGATCCTCGCCATGTGCAACGTAGTCAGAACGAAGCACTGGGACCGGCATGAGGATCAATGTCTTGGCCGAATCGGCAGCCAATTGTGTCGCCATCTTGCTCCGTGACGGTAGGAGAGAGGCTGGTTCCGTAGGAGGAAGTTGTCGTCTTGCAATCCGAGGGAGTTTGCGCCGTCGGATGTAGTCAAGAGCGTTTTCAAACGAAGAAAAGGAGGGAGACTCGTTAGTGAGGTCGATTACCTCCGGCTTCTTGGATTCGTTCGTTTTGCCGATAGGTCGCGTAGCGTTATCGCGATCGTTCGAAGGCTTCGGTCGTTCGAACGGTAGAGGACGATCGGCTGTTGGTCGACGAGTTCGAATGATCGAACGGTAGCGTCGTCTTGGTCGTCGTTCGAAAGCTTCGGTCAATGCGAGCGAACGATAGCGTCGGTAGCGATCGTTCGTTGCGAGCGCTCGAACGTCTTGGTCGACGAATTTCGCTTTCGTTTCGTTGAGCCTACGGTTTGGCTTTGATCAGAATGCACTAGGATAGGCTTGATAGAGTAATTGTGGGGTCTAGCTTATTGTACTAGCTATTGGTTTTAGAGATAATTGGAGAGTGTTGGTGATGAATTGGATAATGTGAGCTTCTCTGAAAGAGATGGCATAGCCTAAGTATCAATGATATCTACAGGCTAGCCTGGCTTATAAAACCATAGTCACAAATCGTGACAACATGTACCGGTAGCCTTTGCGGGCTCACTTGCCGATTTGAAAATCCCAGGTCTCTAGCTAGTGGGGCTCAGCACGGTAGCCCCAACCCCCAATCCCCACCAGAGCCACCCAAAAGACCAGTAGCTAGATGTTGCCTTGACAAAGAAAATGCATTGCACAGACTGGCTGGAGGCAACAATGGCTGGACAACACACCACGGGCGTTCTATGCCAAGAAACTTGCAAGCAGCTTCTTCAAGTGACAGTAAAGGCAGATCCGATGCATTGAATGCTGTACTACAGCAAAACCGAGCTTGCAATTGAGCCTGCATGCAATCCCACCAATTTACCGCTGCGTTTGAAGCTGCTCGCCGGTCACTCCAATCGTGCAAAGAATGCTGGAAAGTCGCCTCCTCACTTCCCCAATAAGTCACTTCGACGACTACTGTACAGCCTTCTTCAGAAAAAGCTTTGTACAGGCTTCTTCAGAAAAAGCTTCCGCCAGAACCCGTGAACTGCTACGGTAGTACGGTAGTAGACCGCCTGTGTCCACTCGATCTACCTACTTTAGTACGGTACGAGACACGAGACCAGCGCAGCAATCCATACAAAACTGGAGGAGGAAACAATGCCTTAGATCACACATCGCGCACCATACGCTGCAAGCTTAGCCGCGGAATGCAGGGTCAGCTGCGATACTGCAACACGAACTTGGAGGCTGTTCGTTGGTGTTGACTGACCCGGTTCTTTGAGCAAGGATAATGGTTCCGCAAGCTGTAAGTGGCTGAAATTCAGTCTTGGGTGCCTTCCTTTTTGTTGGGCTGGTACACACAGCTTCAAGGCTGCGGTAAATCGGTGCGAATGCGGGCCTTGCCCGTGACCTGATTCTTTTCTTCTGACTATTCTTATCCCCCTGGAATCCGAGCAAACAGGCTTTCATTTGAGAACTCTTTTTATGCTTCTCTGCACTGGAACTGAGTAAGCCTTCAGAACCTGACTTGGCCTGAACATCCATGGGAGCAGGTCGTTTGTGGGCCACAGATACGGTACCCCCCACCAAAGCTAGCTAGCCAGACGTTGCCTCGACAAAGAAAAGGCATTGCGCAGACTGGATGGACCGGCTGGACAACACAGCAAGGGCGTGAATTCCTGGGAGCTGCAAGCAGCAATTCTCTTCAAGTGCCAGTGAAGGTCCGATGCATTGAATGTACTAGTCCAGCGTCCAGCCCCGCCAGGTATTGGTGGCCACCGAGGACTCAACAAGTTTAAGAAGATCCAAGACACACTGCTGTTCAAAAACTTGGCATGCCGGTACTGTGTGCTTTAAAATGACAAGGATGGATGCTGCTGGCTTTCGGGTTGAGATCAGGATCATTCCAACGTTCTGATCCATCGACTCGTGGCACCGAGACGTCATCGGCGCTCTCTTTCCCTTGCGGAACAAAAGCCCCAGTAAAAACCACACCGTCATTGAAGTGACACCATCTCAGAGTTTGCAACCACCAATCGCCAACCCATCTTTTTCTCTGGGGTTGGTCTGTCAGAATTTTGCCTCAACACGGCGGCCAGTAGTTGAACATTTTTGCCAGCTAGAAATTGTACTGAGACCTACATGGTCACCCCAAAATTGAGATTTGCTGGGGAGACATAAATTTGATTGCAGCAGCCTTCGGTTTCAAGGTTGCTCCTCTTGTTGTAGAGTGTCGAAGGTGGTTATGTTGAAGAGACAAGGAGAGAGTGCGACTATCCCGTTGTAGCCTTGGTTGTTTCTTCCATCCTAGAGTCGATTTGGCTTGGTGTCGGCATGGTCTGCGGTTGACCACGGCATTTTACGGCTGTTGCGTTGATAGAAGTATCCGATC